GACTGACCACCACCCTGGTCCTCCTCGCACACATACTTTTGGGCCCGTGGACGCGGCCGAGACACGCACAGGGCCGCTCCGGACAGTGGGCAGCTGGTGCCGCAGGGGCGGGAAGGGAGGAAAGCGGCGGCGGCTTGCGGAGGAGAGGAAAGGCCGTGTTTCCGGACACACTGGACACGATCGGACGGTGGAAAGAGGCGCCTCGGCCTCGGAATCTGCGGTCAGTCGATTGCTACTCACGATAAACGTTGCGAGCAAAGTGAAATCGGCGCCAGAGCGGCAGTAACAGCGAACCGCGCGTCTATCAGGGCGCTTCCTCTTCCGGCTGCCGCTACTTCCGGTGCCTCGTGAAAATGCCTCCGGGCGGAAACAAAGGCCTCGCTCTTCCCGCTGAGGTTTCGTTCTTACGCTGGAATTCGGGATCCTATTTCCTCTTTGTTCTCAGTCAAAACCGGAGAATCAGCGACCCCCAGTGGGTGTGGGGATTTTTGTTATAGGTGCAAGGACTAAAGCCCTAAAAAAGCAGCTAAATTGTTGCTTTTATGTGCCCTTTTATGAGATCACTACTATTCATAGTGACCCTATGCATGATAGCTCTGAACCCTGGTCTGTCCTGGGCCAATGCCTCTGATACACTTCTAGTTATTACCCCAGTTATTGTATTAATCCCCCTAACCCAGGCCAATTTCCCTGTCTCTGTCACATCTAGCCTCATTGTTGGTGATTGCCACCGTCCTGAGCACAACTCACTTGCAATTCTATGCACAAAAGACCCAAAGCCTTTCTAAAACTATCTTCGTTTCTCTAAGTTCACAGAGTTTCCAGAGGCATGTGGTTTGGGAATTGCATGCCTCTCCTGCTTCTAAACTTGTCTTAAATGGTGTTTGGTGTTCCACCAAACCCTGTCCACCGTGGGTAACCGTGATGCTATTTGACACCTCAGTGTCAAATCACAGCAATCTCAGCTCACCACAGTACAACATATTGACAGGAGAGTGTGGAAGCACTTAGAAGAATGTTTCTCCAAAATATAATAATGGGTTTTTAATATAAAGGCCCTTCCTGAGGTCTTGACTCTAAACAAGAGGATTACATTTAAAAAAAAAACAAACCAAAAAACACCCAATATAGTACCTTGTCACCTTGAGTCACCTGCGACCTTTAAAGACCCTATATACAGGAGACCTGAACACTTTCCTTTCCTGAGCCAGTCTCATTAATGCCAACACAGTAATTTCCATTGTCCCAAATACTGTATCAATCCGTCTCATTTTGTGTCTTCCTCTCCTGTGCTGTCCCTCCACCCTTTTAAGCATGATGTCTTTCTCCAAGAACTGGTCTCTCCTAGCCACGTGCCCAATATAGGTGAAACAGAGCTTGAAAATCTTCGCGTTCAGGGGAAGACTTGGTTTCACCTTTTACATACAAGACAGACTGATATATCTTCTCTTGGCAGTCTAGTATATTCAAGACTCTTCTCCAGCACCACAACTTGAAGGCATGAATTTTTCTTTCTGTCATCCTTAGTCATTGTACAGCTATCTGATGCATAGCAAGTCACTGAAAAGACTAAGGCCTGAATTAGGCATATCTTTGTCTCTAAACTGACATCGTTGCTTTTCACAACTCTGGAAAGGTTCATGACAGATTTTCAAAATGCAACTCATCTTTTCTTTTCTGTTGGCATGAAAAGTGTCGCTTGTGGAGCCGAGGAAGATGTAATTGATAAGAACCTCAATTTCTTCTCCATTTGTCGTGGTGCTGCCAATTGGCCCTCTGGTGGAAATCTTTATTTTCTTTATATTATGCTTTAATCCATCTTGGGAGACTACAGTCCTTGACCTTCTGCAGAGCAAGCACTTCAGATCTTCTTCAGTTTCAGGAAGCATGGCTGTATCATCTGCATGTCGTAGGTTGCTGATGAGTCTGCCTCTAATCTTGATGACACAGTCCTCACCATAAAGCCCTGCTTCCCGAATGATCTGAGGACCTTATACCTGGAGCAGAAAGCTATTGTTCAAATGGTGCAGGGGAGGACTGCTACGTTTGGAACTGGGAAAAGTGCGCATCAGGGATCTATCATATATCCATGTTTGTTCAATCTATATGCTGAGCAAACCAAGAAGCTGGACTCTATGAAAAGGAATGTGGTATCAGGAATGGAGGGAGACTCATCAATACCGTATCATGCAGATAACAAAATCTTGCTTGCGTAAAGTGAGGAGGACTTGAAGCTCTTGTTGCAGAAGATCAGGGAATGGCAGCCTTCAGTATGGATTGGGGCTAAATGTCAAGAAAACAAAGATTCTTATCACTGGACCAGTAAGCACTGGCATGATGGATAGAGAGGAGATGGAAACCGTCAACAGCATTATCTGGCTTGGTTCCACAATTAACACGCTGGATACAAGAGGTCAATAAATAAGGAGACACATTGCAAATGGAAACGCTTTAGTTAGGGAGCTTTCCAAATTATTGAGATTTAGTGCTGTCAGTTTGAGGACTAAGGTGTGTCTGATTCAGGCCATGGCCTTTCTGATTACAAGCTAAGCACGCAAGACCTGGACAATGAATAAGGATGACAGAAAAAAACCTGATGACTTTAACCTGTGGTGTTGGAAAGTAGAACTGAACATACCAAGAACAGCCAACAGAAGGAAGAGATAAGTTTTGGAGAGGGTGCAGCTGAAGTGCCCTTTGGAGGCAAGGAGGATCCGGCTTTGCCTCACATATTTTGCGCATGTTGCTAGGAGGGTCTGTTCTTTGGAGAGGGACAAGATGTTGGGAAGGTTGGAGGGTCGGCGAAGGAGAGGAAGACAATCAGGTGGATTGATAACGGTGACTGCTGCAAGAGTGAGGACGGCACAGGACAGGCCTAGATTCAGATTTTCTGTTCACAGGGTCGCTATGAGTCATACTTAACTCGATGGCACCTAACAACAACAAGCTAAGAGACTTCAACCTTAGGCAAGCAGAATGACAGATGCCCAAAGGCAGCCTTCTGGTCACCTACAAACTCCCTCTCAATGGTCATTAGAGAAATGCCAACCAAAACAACACAGGACATTACCTTATTCCTTTTGTCTGACTTCACTTCTTGAGGCCATGAGTGGTTTCCGACAGGACAAGGAGATGCTTTTGCTTTCCCAGAGCAAACCCATACAGATGACACCACCAGAACTCCTTGCTAAGGGTCAAGTGCACCACGCAGAAGCTCTGCTAACGTGATCAGCAGTGCCTAACAAAAATCACCATCTTTCCTGGATCTGATGCAACGTGTCACAGTTTGTTTTCTTACACTGACCACTCACTGCCTTTGGGACAAATGCAGATGGAACACCCAGCTAACCCAAAAGAATAAATTAGGGCAAAATTAACCCACTGCCCTTGGGCTGCTAATCAGCGTAATAGCAGAAGTCAGAGTGGTAGACACTCTGTAGGGGTTTTCAGGGGCTGAAGTTTTAGATTTAAGTTAGATGGTTTCTCTTCCAGAGTTACATCCTCTGTACCAGGCTGGAATCCAGTGTGAACATCCTCGACAGGAGCGGGGTCCTACAGAAGCTTGTTGGCAGGGATTGGTGATCAGAAGCGTGGAATGTTGATTTGCTTAGGGAAGTGAGACAATGGGATAAGGTCTCCTATTTAAAAAACTCTTTTGGTCAGCAGTATGGGGCTGGAATCCAGTTTGAAAGTGTTCTGTAGCAGCAATGAATGAATGGAAATCCAAAATCTCTGTAAATGTTCATTAAAATAAAAGAAATAGGGAGCTCTGGTGGCCTAGTGGCAAGAAGCTGCAACTACAATCCCAGAGGCGCATGGTTCGAATGCACCAGATGCTCTGCCGGGGAAGGAGGGACAATCTCCTCCTGTACCGGTCAGATCTGATTTGATGGTACACTCACACACAAAATAATAAAATAAATTAAAAAAAAGAAGAAGAAAGTGTTGTGCAGGAGCCAGGTTCTACAGAAGTTCATTGGCTGGGAGGGTCCTGGGGCTGCATCCTGTGCTCACCTGTTTTGTGTACTCACCTGCACCTTGTGCTCACCTGTATCATGAGCTCACCTGCATCCTCTGCTAACCTGTATAGCAGTGGTCTGTGCATTGCTGTACAGAGGTAATTCATGGTTGCTGTGATGCTAAACACTGTGACACTGATGTGCCAAATGTGACAATGGTTACCCATGGTGGACAGTGTTTGGTGGAGCTCCCAGATTAAAACAAGCTTGGAAGCAGGAGTGGCATCCACTTTGGAAATGGCTTGCCTCTGGAAACTCTCGGAACATGGAGAAAACGACAAAAGTCATACAAGTGCTCAGGTCTTTGGGTCACAGGGTGGCTGTGAGTCACCACTCCATGACACTTCACAACAACAACAGGAATAATCTGTGATTTTCCGCCACCCAGTGGCTTCACAGAGATGCAACAGATACTCTGTTGGGGGACAGAGGCTTCCTGGAAAAATTGCTGGAGATGAGGAAATGGTTGGAAGCTCACCGGTTTTTCGGAAGGAGAATAAAGTGAGAGGTGACTTAGAATATTGTTGTTTTGAGTCCACACTAGTATGAGTCACTTCCCACTTGACTGTGAAGAAGAAAAATCTCAAATCCAGTTAGAGCCAATGACTGGTTTTCATCGGAGAAGGGTTACAAGTGGCTCAGGAAACCCCGCACACAGCTTTAGAAACCTTACACAGCAAAATTCATACGACATAGGTCCCAAAATACAATGGGATCCCTCAGTGGAAAATAACAGAGAAGAGACGAAGATTCTTAACAGCTTCGGTTTACTTGGCTCCACCACATTCCTGGCACCAGCAGCCAGGAAATCAAAAGACGAAATGCATTAGAAAAGTCTGCAGAAAGGGCAGCTCTGGTGGCCTAGTGGCAAGGAGCTGCAACTACAATCCCAGAGGCACACGGTTCAAATCCACCAGATGCTCTGCCGGGGAAGGAGGGACAATCTCCTCCTGTACCGGTCAGATCTGATTTGACGGTACACTCACACACACACACACACAGAGTCTGCAGACGTCTCCAGAGTACTGAAGAGCAACAATATAAGTCTGGACACTAAAGTGAGCCTAATTCAGGCCATGGTCTTTCCAATTAATTGTTCTGCATCAGAAAGCTGGACAATGACTAGGGATTCTGGAAAAGGAATGAATAAACTCGAGCTGTGGTGCAGAAGAAGAGTACTGACTATACGTACTATGGACTGCTAGGAGAACAAACAACTCTCTCTGAGAGGTGGTTACACCAAGCTGCTCCTTAGAGGCAAGGACTCTGAAGTTTCGTCTGACATAGTTTGGACATGTTGCAAGGAGGGACAGGTCCTTGGAGAGGGACGTCATGCTTGGAGGGCTGGGAGGACAGCACAGGAGAGGAAGACCCTCGATGAGATGGACTGACTCAGTGACTGGGGTCATGGGGGCAAGTGTGTCAGAGACAGTAAGGTTGGTTCAACATAGAGCAGGGTTCAGAGTAATTGAGTAATTGTACACAGGGTCACTCTGAGTTACAAGCAACTCGACAGTATCTATCAACAACATCTTCCAACATTCACTAGAGTGAGTTCAAAGATGCTGAGGACAGATGAGTGATACAGAAATGATTGCTTCACTGGTACCATCAAGCAAAAAGAGACTTTTTCTATGACACTGAAAGACCCCCGAACCGGTGGTCCTATCCCGAGCGCACGGCGAAGACCCAAGACTCCAAGACACCGGCTTGATGCAACAGCAAGAGGTAAGAGGTTTATTGCGGAGCTCCGGGCCGACACGTATCTCTGGCAGGAGATAGAGGAGTTGACCGCGAGCAGAGAAAGTTGGTTTTTTATACACTTTAGGGGGATACAACTGGGTATCAGCTTCTCACTGGGTGATGAAAGCACAGTTTGAATTCATTGGTTCAGTGTTTGCTCATGGTTTACACAGCATATTTGCACGTAGCACCTGCGGCACTCACGTAGCACATGTAGCATTTAGACAGATCTTTAACTATAGGGTGGTGTCACAAATGCTTAAGTATACAATGAGTCCAAACTCCAGGGCAGTGGAAAAGCACAAGATACATTGCTTATCAGTCGGGAAACAAAGGCACATGGGTTATCAGTTGAGAGACAATCTCTGCTTGTTTGCTCTGCCCTTCTGCTAGCCATTCTTGAAATACTGTTGCCCTGGATACAACTGGGTGTGGGGCTCTACCCGAGACAATGGAAAAATTCCTGAGTTTAACTTAGCTGAGAACTATAGAAACCTGAGTTTAATTCAGCTGAGAACTATAGGGACTATTTTAATTTCAATCTTTTCAACATAACGTCAGCCACTCAATCTGGGGAAGATCTTTAGCAAAATTCAGAATACCACCTACGGATGATCTGTTACTATAAAATTTAGGGAACTAAGTGACTAGAAAAATTAGTGGCTTAGTGAGTAAGGAGTTAGGCTGTCAACCAAAAGGCAGATGTTTGGAATGACGTGATTCATGAGAGAAAGATAAAGTCATATTCCAGCTGCTCCTTCCGTGCGACTAAAAGCCTCTGAAAACCCACCAGAGGGGGGTCGGTTTGGGTCGGTTCCTACTCTAAGCAATACTACAAAACAAGGCTTTCCTCATCTAGTCAAACGGAAAAATAGGTGAGCTTCCAGAGCTGGGTGATTTCTGTAATAGCTGCATAGTGGTACTTGCTTTAAAAGGAAGGAGCTTCAAAGGAGCAAGCCTCGTTTTGTCAGAATGTGAAAAAACAGCCAAGATTACACATGAACACAAACAGGAAGCAAGCAGAAAGTAAGAGTGAGTTTTATTTGAAGTAATAGCAAAGTGCCCAAAACCGAAAAGCTGTCATGAAAAAAAGAACTCAGGACATGTCCCTGCTGTGACTGCTCAGAGGTTGTCTTTCTAAACGGCTCACTTGCTTGACCACCCTCTTATCAGCCACAGTGGGTCCTATCTAACGATTGGGCCTTGCCTATTAAATGGCCTACCAGTATCGATCAGGTGGGGAATCCACATAGTTAAACTCCTAGTTAAGAACTAGGACTTTTCTTAAACACCAATACTACTCTTTACTCATTGTAGACACAGCGTGCTGAAATGTCAAAGGTTTGAAATGTGTCTAAACCCACAGAGGACGGGAACTCTGCTGGCCTACTGGCAAAAAGCTGCACTGCAATCCAAGAGGCACGCGGTTCGAATCCACCAGATGCCCTGCTGGAGAAGGAGGGACAATCTCCTCCTGTAACAGTCACATCTGATTTGACGGGACACAGAAAAATAATAATAATATACAACCATGAATGAACAGAAATCCAAAGCCTTTGTAAATTTTCACTGAAATTAATAACAGATTTAAATTAAAATAATAATAATAATAATAATCCCAAAAGGAAACCCAGTGGGCAATGAAAAGCCAAAGAGATTCAAATTTTCTATAGCACTCCATTTCTTTTTTTTTTTAAATATTTTTTTCAAATTTATTCTATTTCATTTTTTGTGTGTACCGTCAAATCAGATCTGACTTCACATGAGGTCTGTGCTGCGTGAATTCGTGCACGTCCTGATGACATCCGATTGTGGAAAGGTGGCCCCCACATTCCTAACATCCAGATGCTTTATTGTGAGAAACTCTTCAGACATAGTCTGTGTACCAGAGTCACCAAAGATTTCCCTCCGTAACGCACGTTCCCAAGTTGTCTTGTGTGCATTTTTATGTGTTCTGAAGCAACCTAACTGTGAAAAGGTGTGTCTACATTTCTGACATGCATAAGGTCTCTCTCCTATTTGAATTCTATGGTACATGAGGTGAACGGAATAAAACAAAAATGTTTTCCCACGTTCTGTAATATCATAAGTTCTCTTTCCTATGTGAATTTTTCCATGGACAGTAAGGTTAAAGCCAAGAAAATTATTTCCACATTCTCTACCTACACAACATTTCCCTGCTGTGAGTTCTTGCGTGGACACTGAGGCTGGAAGGCCAAGGAAATGTTTTCCCACACTCCTTACATTCATAAGGTCTGTCGCCCGTGTGAATTCTGGCATGCAGAGATAGCCTATCCACCCGGGAAAAAGATCTCCCACAGTCCTCACATGCATAAGGTCTCTCTCCTGTGTGAACTCTGCGATGCACACTGAGGCTGAAAAGTCGTGAGAAGGCTTTCCCACATTCCTTACATTCATAAGGTTTCTCTCCTGTGTGAACTCGTCGATGTTTTCTGAGCTCACCTGACTGCAGAAATGTCTTCCCACAGTCGTGACACGCGTAAGGTCTCTCTCCGGTGTGGATTCTTCTATGGCTAGCGAGATGACTTGACTGTGAGAAGGTTTTCCCACAGTCCACACATGTGTACGGTCTCTCGCCTGTGTGAATTCTTCTATGTTTACCGAGGTTGCCAGGGTCACCAAACTTTTTGCCACATTCCGTGCACTGATAAGGTCTCTCTCCTGTGTGAGTTCTTCGGTGTTTTCCGAGGCTGCCGGGGTCATAGAAGGTTTTCCCGCATTTGTCACATTCATAGAGTCTCTCTCCGGTGTGGATTCGTCTATGGACGGTGACCTGACTTGACTGCGAAAATGTTTTCCCACAGTCCTGACATGCGTAAGGTCTCTCTCCTGTGTGAACTCTGGTATGGACGGTGAGGTCTCCTGATCGTAAGAATGTTTTTCCACATTCTTGACATTCATAGGGTTTCTCTCCTGTGTGAATTTTTCTGTGTTCCGTGAGAGAGGTTGAGCGTGGGAAGGTTTTCCCACACTCCGTACAGACATAAGGCTTTTCTCCTGTGTGCATTCTTGCGTGGATAGTAAGACGGGCAAGGTGACGGAAGGTCTTTGTACATTCCTTGCATTCGTAAGGTCTCTCTCCTCGGTGAGTTCTACTGTGCCTCATGAGGTGACTGGATTCTAAAAACGCTTTCCCACATTCGTGACATTCATAGGGTCTCTCTCCTGTGTGAATGCGTCTATGTTTAACGAGGTGATCTGACCGGGAAAAGGTTTTGCCACATTCCATACACGGAAAAGGTCTCTCTCCTGAGTGAATTTTGGCATGGACAGTCAAATGAGCATGGCGATGAAAGGTTTTGCCACACTGGTGACATTCATAAGATTTCCTGTCTGTCTGTGTTCTCGCATGTCTCCTTAGGCAGGACGAAGAACGTGAAGATTTTCCACGTACCTTACCATTATAAGGCTTCTCTACACTGTTAATTTTTCTCTTTACTGTGCTGTCTGAAGTACTTGTAAGGGGGGCAGAAGAAGAATGGTGTTTCCCATTTTTAGTATGCTCATAAAACTTCTCTAGAAAATTAAACCCTTCTTTGGAAACTAAAGGGAAAGGATTCCTGCAGGTCTCAGCACATTCTGCAGGTTCATGTTCATCTACCACATGGATCCAAAATGAAGAGAAAGAACAGAAGTATTTGCCACATTTCTTACATTCATGGCCAGTGTCACCAAGGTCACTCCTCAACAGGTTTAAGTCGACACGGTTGCAGGAATAACTTGGAAATCTGATGCGCGTTTTCCCAGGGTGAGCGTCTTCAATCTCTTCACGAAGGTCTCTGACTGTGAGACTTCTGTGAAAAATCAACAACACACAGTTGTAACTATGCGTGTCCCTGTAAGCACACAATAAAACACAAGGAAGATGCATGAGTCTACCATCTCAGAGTCTCCCATGACTTCATTTAGCAAAAATATAATTCCTACAACTGCATTGAGAAGTCATGAGACTTTGAGACCCATCTCCAAAATTCTGTTTCTCATGAGTTTTGGGGTGTTTTTCCCCCCCTCATTTTCATGACACTCACCTCCAACGGTCCTCTTGGATTTTACATAGATCTTCTCTGCCACATAATTGTACCATTTTCCCTAACATGGAAAGCCCGGAATGCGTAGTCCTTAACAAGGTCAACTGAGTACATTCACGCGATAATGCTTCTCGGGCATTCACGTTTTCAAGGCCTGGCACAAAAAAAGAAAATAAAATGTTGACAATATAAAATAGAACGTACTAGAGGCTAGGCTGCTGTGAACAAATCGTCATGAGGGCACATTTTTCAGTTTCAGCACTTTGACACTGGAGAGCAAACAATTCACTACAAATCCCTTCTGAGACAAATGAAAGACATGATGATATAAATGAGACTCCTCTGGGTGGATAATTACAGAGATGACTCACACAGCACACACGACATCACACAGAACAGTACACACATGACAATGCACAGAACACACACAATATCTCAGAGGATTCACATCACATGACACAGGACACACAGCACAGGAGAAATAGAAAAATGGCTCCAGCACAGGCCTGCTCATGCCAAAAAGAGCACGGAGTGATCTGTTAAATTATATACCATTCAGCAAAAAAGGTACTTTCTCTTCTTGTGTCATGAAAATCCCCGTGTCTCAATATTTGGAATATCCTGTCACCAATTAATGATTCACAGAGGTTCCCAACACACGAGCCCTAAATGAGTGTGATACGCACGGCCGCAAAGACTTTTAACTGCCATCAGACATAAAAAGCGGATGTGCCCATCAACAAAGGAACGGATAGAGAAGCTGTGGTCTATTCACACCATGGAATACTATGCAGCACTGAAAAACAAGGAATTCATGAGATATTATGTAAGATGGGTGACCCTGGAGGCCGTTATGCTGAGTAAAATATCTCAGTCACAAAAGGACAAATGTTGCACAGGGCCACTGCTGTCAAACAGGACTGACATCCCAACTGAGGGAAGACAGACAAGGAGAGGAGGAATGACGTCTACTGCGTTGAAACAGATGAGGGAGAGATCTGTTTAAACGGGATAAATGAATGGGTCTTCTCGTCATGACAGGCGAGCAGAGTGAAGGCTGCACAGTGGAGTGGACTTGGCAGGAGGGACTGCATAACAATGCAAGAGTTTTCCTTTTCTGTTTCAAGGGAAAAAGTGATTGGGGGGAAGGGATGGGCAGTGAGAAAAGTGCAACAATGAGTGGAAAGCCTAGGTTTCCGTAAACTTTCATCAAAATGAATTTTTTAAAAAAATGGTGCTACATTCACTGATGATAGATTCAGAACTAAATCCATTTAATCACAAGCAAAGAAAATATATTATCAGACAGAGTCTTCTTATACAAGTAATTTTCCACAAATGACTGTTAAAGGCCACAGGATCATGTCTGTTTCATTTAACCGTGGTTTCCAATTCTTCAGTCAAAATTCAAAAGTAATGGTCATAAATTTGTTTGCACTCCAAGGATTGTAAGAGTACAAATTCTTATTGTTTACCTATGAAGTCCAGGTTTTTCACAGTTGCAATCATCACGTCCCTGTAGAGTTTCTTCTGATCAACACTGAGCAAAGCCCACTCTTCCTGGGTGAAGAGGATGATCACGTCCTCCAGAAACAATGGTGCCTGAAACACACAACACACTCTAGGTCTGAAAGAAACGTACCATGTCCCACCTGGGTGCCAGGACAAAAAAGGAGCTTCATCTTTGAAAAAAGTGAAGAAATCATACAGACACGACAAAAGTTCTATTTTCTTGCAAGATCTACTCAGGGGCTGAGACCTGAGCCTTGTTCTGGGCCTTATGACCTTCATTTTCTCACGGAGGAAATCCTGGCCATGAGATGTACCACTCTGTGAATGAACCTGTGGATACATTCACTGTGAATATTTGGACACATATTCTCTGTCTTACAACACAAAAGAGCACAAAGCAGAGATATGCTGAATTTGCAATATGAGTCTGTTGGGAACAGTCCATTTCATCTCCCTTTGAAAAGATCTCTAAGAACAATAAAGAAAATATAAAGGACAGATGAAAAGCAGGGGGATGGACTACCATTATGGAAACACTTCAGAATGGGAATGTTTTTGTCTGTTTCTTATGAGATGAGAGTACCCAGGGCCCACAAAAGCATATGGTATCACAAATTCCTTTTGTTGTTGTTGTTATGTGCCGTCGAGTCGCCTGCAACTCATAGCGACCCTATTTACAACAGCCCTAAACTCTGCTCTGTCCTGTGCCAATTGTACTATCTCTGACACTCCCATCCTGATAAACTCAATCCACCTCATAGAGGGCCTTCCTCTCCTGCGCCGTCCCTCCACCCTCCCAAGCATGATGTCCCTCTCCAAGGACCGGTCTCTCC